TTTAAACACCGAAATTTTTAGGATTTTTTTTTTTTTTTTTTTCTAAAACAAAAATGCTAAAATGTCGCAGCAACAAACTACCGGTCCGAAGCCTCCTTGCGCAATAAACAGCAAGAAGGTTTTTTTTTCCTTTTCCCCAGGAGAACATTCGTTTCAACAAGGTTATTTAGGCGCATCTCCTGATGTTTTTGTGACTGGTGTCTTACACGTTCGTTATACAAGCAAAAACCCTATATTTGCCAAAAAAATAGTGGTTTCGTTTGTTGGCAAAGAGTATGTTCTCTTTTCAGGCACCTTAGAAGAAGGTCAAAAAATCAAAGAAGACGATGACTTTTCTGATAATGATGACGTTTCAACCGAAACTTTATCCGTCCATACTGCAAGGCGAACAATTTATAAATCTTCTGTTTGTTTATGGAGGTCTCAAAGCAAAGGTTCTTATGAAGGTGTAGGGGAATTAGACTTACCGTTTCGATTTAAACTTCCAAAAAACCTCCCTCCTTCTTTATCTATAAACAAAGGTTGTGGAAGAATATACTATATGCTTAAAGCAATAATATCACGTCAACCTATAGATCCTAATTCTCGAAACTATAAAAAAAAGATAAAGACCTTTTGCCCTATTGTTCGTTATACCATTACACCACCGTTGGCGCCTTCTCGTTGGAATGTAAAGCAAGAAGATTCAGCTTTACTACATGCTGTTGGATATGATGTTTCTTTAAGTCACTCAACTTTTGGTGCCGGTGAATGCGTCGTTGTTCCTGTAAAGCTAATTTTCTATGAACCACAGATTTATCTTAGAAAGATATTTGTTGGTATAAAAGAATATCACGAATTACGAACAAACAAATATGAAACCACAACCAAAAAATATATTGTTAAAGAAACTATTGACGCTCAATCCATTCCTAATTCTTCCAGCACCGGTAATGAATATTCGGTAGACGTCAAACTTTCAATGCCACACTCTCGAAATCTTGCCTACAGTGTAGATTCAACTTATATTACTGTCGCACATAGAATTAAGGTGAAAATTCATCTTGGAAAAGCACCCAACATTAATTTATCTAAATTTATCAACATTTCAAATGTGGTTAGTAAAAGAGAATTACCTCCTCCAAAAGCTGAAACGTCTTCTGCTATTCAAAAAAAGCCGTCATTTAAATCGGATATTCGTCCTCAAATAAAGAAAATTGATTCGGAAATATCGAAACAATTGTCATCATTGATTCCAATGTTCACAAAGATTCATATTATCGATTCAAAGAATCAAAAACGTATTTCTATGATGCAACTTCATCTCACTGACCCTGACAATCCTAATATTGTATTCAATTCAAGATCTCTTATTTGTTCTCCCTAAGTCCCGGTAATTTATTTAATATTAATATACATAAGTTATATTTCATCTATTTAATTTTAATTTTTGAAATTACAATACTGTATATCAAAATGTCTATTTATTAGTTAGTATATATATATATATATATATAATATCAAATTGTGTTATATATTGCGTTCAAACCATAAATGAAATGTTAATTGTTATTTATCCTATAGTTCGAGATATTTAAAATCGTTCAAAAAATGATGTTATATAATTAATGTGGTCGCGTTAACGAATGACTTACTATTGGTTGCGCCAGAAGAGGATGATAAAATAATTTTATCACTACAATATTGGAAAATTTTTATGAACTAATTTCACCCAGCATTTCTAGTTGCATGTAAGTTGGCAAAAGTCAATTGAATGTTCACAGTTTATAACGTAATTAATAAATCGATAATAGTAACATATATCGATGTTTATAATAGTAATGATAAATAAGGATTTCGCAGTATTACTACTTCATTTTAGAGAAATATCGATTACGGTAAGTTTACACTTTGGAGATAATAACAATTGATTGTTATTTGTAAACTTTAACAGGTCTTACCAAATAGCAAACTCTCTCATTCATTAAATCAAATAGTCATGATAAATAATTTGGATTCGAAGACTAAAATTTGATGGTTTAAAAAATAGCTATCTGATGTTTTGGAAAGTAGCCAGATGGTATGAAACATTGCATTATCATTACTATATAGTTTATATTTTCTAAAAATTATAACCATTTTTTAAATTTTATTATTATTAAGACTTAAATCCTAGACCTACTAGTTTAGCTTAATGAATGGTTAGATTATGAAAATCCAAAGTGGTGCTTCTTTGTTTAAATTATGTTATATAATAATAAATTTAAATATATATTAAACAAAAAGTTACGTATAAACCAGATTGGAATTTTGAGCTCTGGTCTTGGAAGTCAACATGCATTACGTATACGTACAGTACGTAGTATGTCAAAGCCGATTAATGAATAGAACAGAATAAGCCAATAACTCTTTAAGCCACACTTCAGATTAGATAAACAGCATTTTGAATGGCTCCCTATCTAGTTCATGTCAAACCTAGAACTTGGGGTTGGGGCACCGAGTTTATGGGCATGTCCTTATAGTTTTATATCTATTAAAGTTTCACATATTAATATGAAATTTATTTGATTTGGGTCAATATCAATGGCCATGTTTGAATTGGCTAACCGATTATGATATTTAAAATTTTTTCGTACCCCCAACCTTACCCAAACAGCAACCCTAGCGCCAACCTAAAAAATTTCGCTAACAAGATCAGGTGTAACTTAAAAAATTAACACTATATATATATTGTAACGAAATTTTTTTTTTGGTTTGGTGACGCCAGGGTCCTATACCAAGAACAAACTATTACCATTATCAATTAAAATTTTAACCGAACAGACAGCTCTTATATTAGACCTACAGCATTAATCGACTTTTTAGTGGAATCACTAAACTGAGTGTTGCACATTAATACATACATGCACATGTATTACGGGTTCACAAATATGTTTAATTTAGTTAACTTATTAAAAATGTGTTAAAAACATTGAAAATTTTATTTTTCCATTCTTGTATTTCTCAAATTTAAAGAACCTTTGTATATAATATTTAACGTTAATGGTCAAATTAGCAATTTTAGGTTGCGGCAATATAGGATTCTTTTTGGCCGCAAAAATCCTTCATCATTATTATTTACTTTCAAATAAAAAAACAAGTGTGAATGAAAAGGTTGAATTATTATTAGTTGGTAGACAAAGGTTACTTGATGACTTAAATGCATCGGGAAGAATATTGTTAACGACTATAGATGGAACAAAAACTGTGATTCCAAGAGATCATGTCAACTACGTTACAGATGCAAAAAAGTTAATTGAATTTCAGCCAGATTATGTGCTTGTAACGTTGAAAGTAACACAGACTATTGAGGCTATGAAAGAAATCGCAGAATTAGATGGCAAAATTAAAGTAATTATCTAATTAAAAATTTATTAACGCTAATAATTCAATGAAATTAATTCCTCAATTGTAATTATTTGTAGATTGTATCAATTCAAAATGGTGCTCGAAATTATGACTTGATCAAAAAAAAATTTCCAAAGTCCCAAGTAATAAATGGAATGATAGTTCAAAATGTAAATTATTCCCCTCATTGTAACTTCACCCAAAGTTCCGATGGTGTTATTTTCATTCAATCAACACCCTTTACACATTCTATTAGTTCCATCTTA